AGATGCAGCAACAACTTTCATCACGATCAGAGAGATGAGAAAGACTGCAGCATGATAAATCTAAGTCCCTAGAATGATTCAGCCCTAGAACATTAGGCCCACTCACATCAGGAACATCCTTCATCTTTGTGGCACAGTGGGAACACCCCCATAAGCTAAATATGCCAGGGAAGGATGTTGATTTCTGTGTATTTAATTACAGGGAGCCTCTCGCTTTCCCAGCTGATGTGCAACTAATACTGCAATTGAGTTGTCGCTAATTGTGCCTCTTTTGTTTCCTCTTAAGGGTTTGCTGGATCTTTGGGGCCTGGGAATCCATGTTTGGTTACCCTACTGGAAGTGGCAGGCCTCCTAAGAATGCTACTTTTCATGGGACGCGGGTGGCGCTGTGGTCTAAACCACTGAGCCTCTTGGGCTTGCCGATCAGAAGGTCGGCGGTTTGAATCCCTGCGAAGGGGTGAGCTCCCACTGCTCTGTCCCACATTCTGCCAACCTAGCAGTTCGAAAGCACACCGGCGAAAGCAGATAAATAGGTACCGCTGCAGCAGGAAGATAAACAGCGGTTCCATGCACTCTGGATTCCATCATGGTGTTCCATTGCACCAGAAGCGGTTTAGTCCTGCTGGCCACATGACCCAGAAAGCTGTCTGTGGACAAACACCAGCTCCCTCAGCCTGACAACAAGGTGAGCGCCGCAACCCGATAGTCGCCTTTGACTGGACTTAACCATCTAGGGGTCCTTTTACCTTTACCTTTACCTTTTACTTTTCATCACTTAAAGTAAAGCTTCTCCCTCTTTTGGATGGAATATGTTTAAATGCAACTATTTCCATGTTCAATCCCTGGCTTCTCCTGTTAAGCAGACCAGGAAGCCAGTATTGGGAAATGCATTCTGCCTCTGAGACCCCAAAGAGCTGCTTCAGGTCAGAGTAGACTATACTGAACTAGACAGATCAATAGTCTGGCCTGGTGTAAGTCAGTTCCCTAAGTTGCAGGTGTAAAACAGGTCAGCCAAGTCACATAAAGGCAAACTAAACTGGGATACATACTGGTTCCAAACCACGGTTCTTTGTTGGAAAGATCAAGTTCCGCTCCCTCTTGGTTCCATTTGTATATTGACAGGTCTGCATCATGCCTCACCCTGTTTCATATTCCAAGTTCCTGTATTGTTCAAGTGTTTCCTCTGTGGCAATAAGGGAGTCTTTAAGGTTATCTTGCTGAGGGCAGCAACCAATTGCCCAGTGCAGCTCCTTTAGCCAAGACACGACATGACCCTTGATTCAGCTTATTTAGTCAGATGCCAGAAGGGTGTGACAGTAGGGATGGGGGTTGAAATTCAATTTTGGTTTATTCTAATGTAGGTAACTTAGTAATTTGCACTTCCTGAAATGATAAGAGAACCAAAACACTGCTAGCATTCAAAATTTGCACTTCTCCCAATTTTTTGACACGGTTCTTCAATCAAATAATGGGTGCACTAGGGGAGTGTGGGAAAACAAATGCATGTATTTGTGAAAATAACATACAAAAATGCATCATTCTCATGCAAAATTGCTTACTAAAAGTGTGCATATTTGGAGGAATTTGCACTAAAATGCTGATCAATTTTCATGAAGACTTAAAAAAAAAAAAAGCATTAGCAAGATGATGTGGCAACTTTTAGCTGGAGTCAGACAATCACACACTGGAAGTCATACCACTGGTCCAGTCTACAATAGCAGGCAGTAGCCCTTTAGGGTTTCCAACAGCAGATTTCCCCAGCTCTACCTGGAGATGTTGTGAGCTGAACCCAAGACCTTCCTGCAAGGAAGGCAGGTGCTCCCCCACTGAGCTATAGAGTCCTTCTCTTCTCCGGGAAGTTGCTTTCTGGGGGAATCAGAGTGCCTTCTGTCCAGAAGTCCTGCTTGTATGATTGCTCATAAAAAATAATAATTACAAATGCAAACGACTCTCCAGTTCCAAAGGAAACCGAGTAGAGTAGCCCAAGCGTTGGGCAGCTCTGCTCTCAGAGAAGCGGAGAACATGTGGCCCCATTTTACATAGACTCTTTGTGGCAGGGAGCATCCAGCGAGACCATTTAGAGCGCCTTAAGCTTCACACCTAACAATCTGGTTGGTGACACTGACTGTGCTCCCGTGGGTCCTCATTGCAGCAAATTACCTGCTTTAAGTATTAAGAAGGGGTGGCAGTGGCGGATGGGGGAGAGCCGTTTAATTTTAGATTGGAGAAGTTAGTAGCTGAGCCCCGGGGGTTGCCATGGAAACTAGGCATTGGTTGCCATTTCTCCCTTCCCACCTCTAAGTAATTAGGTAGCGAACCTCCCCGCAGGGGGAAAATAGGACTGGAGCTCAAAATCACATTTGAGCAATTTCATCATCATGTGGGAAATCTTCTGTTAACACACAGTTTCACCTTTCGGAAGGTAAGCTGTTTGCCACTTTAAAAACTCACCACATCCCTGGCAGACAGAGATGGAGAAGAAGCTGGGGTATGCCTTTCTGGTGGCATGCTTAAATGTCCTTCCTCCATCAGTCCTGGAGGGAAGATACACAAATACCCCAAAGCACAAGCACAAGTTCCCCTACAACTCCAGAAAGCTTGAGTCAGTGACTCATGTCCTCCTGTACTCCTTTGGTCGTGGCATAGATAGATAGATAAAACTTTATTTGCATTTGCTAATAGCCATAGCAACAGTAAAACATTACAGTATACGCAGAAAAGGAAATTTGATATAAGAGCACAATTTAAAGTCCTGAATCAGCAGTCAGTTAGTGGCCCTTATTCTGATTGCTCCAGCTATGAACCTAGCAACCTTTGCTGTTATCTGCTCATTTTGATCTGATAGAAGAAAGGGCATTGTGGCAGTGGTTGAGCGCTCTAGGATGGTTAGTACGAGTGGGATGATGATCTCATTCCTCAGGTCTTTGTAGACAGTACAAGACAGCAGGACGTGTGCCACTGTTTTGGTGCTACCGTCTCCACAGGGGCAAAGACGTTTCTCAGGCGGAATCTTTTGAAATCGACCCTCAAGTACCACAGATGGCAAAACATCCAGTCTTACAAGTGTAAAAGCACGTCTGTATTTTGGGATAATAAGTTTGTGCAGCTATGGGGCCAGAGAATCAAAATGGAGAGGTGGAAAATGAACATACCAAGGGCAGAATTTCCTTATGGTGGCCAGGTTGTTCTAATGGTCGTGGCATATGTGAAATCTCTACTGAACCCTTCTTATAAAATCTGCCAGGAGTTGCACGTCTCTCAACTCCGTTCAGCTCGACACGCATCTCTCACTCTCAGTCTGGCCAAATACTGTGCTGCAGCAAACAAAATTCACCAAGAACTGATTCCAAGCACTCCCTGGAATCTCTGACAGGACCACATCTTTTAAGCTGCTGGTGCCCGTCTTATTTTACTCTACATTGTTGTTTATCAACCTCATTTCATTTCATGACCTTTTGTGTTTTGTGTGCTACTTATTTGGATTCCTTGGTACTACTCATTGACTTCAACAATCAAGATTTGATAGAATGTGCTGCTGGGCTACGCATTCCAGCCAGGATGCAAGGCGGAAATCTCATAATTCCATGGCTGGTGGATGTCTGTCCATAACACCTCTCCTATTTGCCTTACATGCCTGCCCGTGTCTGCAGTTTCTATTAGTTAGTACCTTCCTTCTGCAGTCTCCAATGAAACGACAAGCTCAGGGTGGGGTGAGAGCGGAAACAGACCCTTGCCAGCTTCATTAATGCCACTTCTCAGGGGGTTTTTTAAACATAAATATAAAAGTATTACATACAATGGGTGCATTCACATGGCAGTATACAGCGGTAAAGGTAAAGGTAAAGGGACCCCTGACCATTAGGTCCAGTCATGGCCGACTCTGGGGTTGTGGCGCTCATCTCGCTTTATTGGCCGAGGGAGCTGGCGTACAGCTTCCGGGTCATGACTAAGCCGCTTCTGGCGAACCAAGCAGCCCACGGAAATGCCGTTTACCTTCCCACTGGAGCGGTACCTATCTTTTATCTACTTGCACTTTGACGTGCTTTTGAACTGCTAGGTTGGCAGAAGCAGGGACCGAACAACGGGAGCTCACCCCGTTGCGGGGATTCGAACTGCCGACCTTCTGATCGGCAAGCCCTAGGCTCTGTGGTTTAACCCACACCTCGGGTTAAAAACTTAATTCGTTCTGGAGGTCCATTCTTAACCTGAAACTGTTCTTAACCTGAGGTACCACTTTAGCTAATGGGGCCTCCCGCTGCCGTCGCGCAATTTCTGTTCTCATCCTGAAGCAAAGTTCTTAACCCGAGGTACTATTTCTGGGTTAGTGGAGTCTGTAACCTGAAGCGTCTGTAACCTGAAGCGTCTGTAACCCGAGGTACCACTGTATTCCATTTCCCCAATGTTCCCCTAATTTTTAATTTCTGCATTATATTTGAGCTACAAAAGCCACTTCTGGAAATCAAGTGGAAGTTTAGGGCTCAGTTCTGTGTCAATGCTTCCAGGAAATCCATCTGCAACCCCATTAATCCACAAAATTGTGGGAGTAAAGTGATGAAATTTGCGGTGGCACGCCAACACAGAGTTCTTTCTTGCTGTTTCCATGGGGGAATTGTGGGGCAACAGAAGCATGCATGTGCGGGAAGGGACCGGTGGCACTGCCCAATGTTGCACGTTGTTGTATCACACCAGACACCATGGTGTGAATGAAAAGAGTGTGACAGAGAATCATAGAACTGTAGGGTTGGAAGGGACCACAAGGATCATTTAGTCCAACCCCCTGCATGCCACAATTTTTTGCCCAAAGATTAAGAGTCTCATGCTCTACCGACTGAGCTGGTATACTGCAGGTATAGCAGTGTGAAAGGGTCACTGGACTCAGGCACTAGCATTCTAATCAGGCATCATAATCACGTCTGAACGCACCCTTTGTGAATCAATGGTTAGGGCTGACCCTATCAGACAATCAGCCAATCCCCTCTGCTGGAGAACAGAACTCTGCATGCCTCGTGACCTGCCCTTGTCCCATCACTAAAATGCAGTGAACGACGCTAACCCATTACTAGTGTTGAAGCAAGATTCAGCTGCCATTCTGGTTGGCTTCTGTATGTGGAATGGGGAGAGGGTACCACTTTGTCCTTGCCTCTCAGGCAGCAAAATGTCTTGAGCCAGCTCTGCCAATGGAGCTGTACAGTTCACCTGCATGTCTGGGATTGGGGTTAAGGGATGGGAGAACAGTGAAGGAAAAAGCCAAACTGCAGAGATGGGGGGGGGGGGAGCAGAGGGAGCAGTCATGGAAAAGAAGAAAGAATCAAGTGGTTATTGTTGCTAATTTATTTAATGGAGTTATTAAGCCTGGTTTTCAAAAAGGAGATTACAGTGTACTCTAAAACAAAGAGTAAAAAGCTAACAAATGCAGGGCTGTATGCGACTGACTTCTACTCAGAGTAAGCCCACTGAAATGAATGAGTTCTAAGTTAGACATGCCTAATAACTGCAAAGGGTCTATTATGAGTAAGACTAGCACGGGCTACAACTCACAATCAACAATATTCAGGACCTGAGCCACTAATAGAAAAAATAAGAGCAGCAGCAGATAAAAGCGCAATATGACAAAATCAACCAAGTGCAGACTGGATTAAATAAGCCTTTGGCCAGCAAAGGGGAGTGGCATACTTCCTGGGAGAGGCAATTCCAAAAATTTGGTGCCACCCCATAAAAGGTCCTGTCCCTGGTCTCACTTCATAAGAAAGCTGTGTGTGCCTGTTAGTAGTAATTAAAGAGACACTCTCCAAGGTGGGAAAAGATTCTCAGATGTTGTTCCAATGCACATCTGAGAATACATTATTTAATTATTCTCTCTTTCAACTGTGTAATGGATTTTTAAACTGCTTTTCAAGAACAATTATCTTCCCATGGCAGACTAGCAGCTGTTCACAGGGGACGTGAGAAATGCAGGATGCTTGCAGTGGAACCTTTCACCATGGCCATCAATAGGCTGAATAACCTGATACTTGTGTATTTAAATGGCATTTCTATCTTTCACACATGCTCACAGACAGCAGGTTGGGAGAGGCACAAAAGTATCTTAAGTGCCATGTGTGAAATATTCCTAAATCCCGGTGGGAGTACAGTGTCTGACACGTCCATAACTGAAAGCTCTTGGCTACATCTGAGCCTCCTTGGCAGATATCTTTCCTGTTTCATGGCACTTAACACCCACTGCAGGGATTTCTGAACAAGCACGGTTGGCAATGGAAGAAGATGCATGCAGAGGAAGGATGGGGCAAGCGAGGCAGAGGAAAAGTGCAGAAAGGGAAGAAGAGACAGATAGCATCATAGCTCTCAAGGGTATTACATTGTTCTAGGGACAATCTGGGAGAGGGCATTGCTGTAAAGAAGGAAAAGAGTTTTTCTGGGGTGGGGTGGGAAGCTGCAAATCTAGAAACAGTTCAGTCCAATTCCTAAAAATAATCTGAGTCTTACAGCACTGTGCTCATGGGACTTACTCTCTGGTAAGAGAGCCCTGTTTGGGGACGTTTTTAATATTTAATGTTGTATTGTTTTTAACACTCGATTGGGAGCCGCCCAGAGTGGCTGGGGAAGCTCAGCCAGATGGGCGGGGTATAAATAATAAATTATTATTATTATATAAGAGCCTATAGGATTGCAATCTTAACAAGTTGCACAAAGAGCCCTATGGGCTCAGATCACAAGTCCATATAGATCAGCATCCTGGTTCCAAAAGTTGCCAGCAATTTCTGCTTTTCTCTCAATGGCAGCTTAACTGAAAGCCAACAGCTTCCCATACCCTTGAACTTTGTCTCCCCTTGCAAACCTATATTATCCCCAAATGCAATGCCAATTTTCAGATGGTAGAAAACATTTTTTCCATAGGTTGTAGATCCCACTCTCAAAGGCTAGATTTAAGAATTACTTTATTCTTTTGCTGAGTCCATTATGGAATGTGTGCTTTTTTTTTCTTCAATTACAAGGTGAAATGAACAGTTTTATCAGTACTGCAAACTGACACAGAAAGATTTGCTAGAGTTATTAATTTTACTCTTTCCCTTGTAAGCCATAGTTATAGTTAAACATGGAACACAGCACATCGTACAAGCAGGTTTATTGCAGAGAAGCACGTTTATTGGACCAGTGGAGGCAGCGGCAGCCACCACCAATGTCTTGTAAATGTCAATTACAACATCTAAATGTGCTCTGCAATTTTCACGCCAAATTAGAGGACCTATAACACCATCTCCTTGCGTATGAGATATGGCAGCCAGCCAAGCGCATCCATCACGCATCCGTGTGAGACCTCAAATCAATTCCCCTTTCAAAAATTCTCTTGCAGGCAAAGGGCTATGCAGTATTTCATGGGGATGAAGAGGGGCTCATCAGATATTTGTCTTGCAGAGAAAGAGCCTGATAAGTAAAGCACCTCCATAGTCTTCCTACATCGCTGCCTATATTTAAGACTGTGAAAAAGACCCAGAGGTGTCTGTAGCCAAAGCCCCTTCCCACACAGAATAAATTAAAATATGGTTGCTATGCTGAAGAGGAGGCGGTGCCTGTTCCTAGATTTATTTATTCAGTTTCGCTAACAGACTCATAACTGGTCTTTAAAGAAAGAGTCTTCACAAAGTGGCTTATAATCCATCCATCTGCATATCTCAAAACATGGCTGATTAAATATAATTTAAAACAATTAAAAGTATCAATTTCATAACACTATTTTTTTAAAATAAACAGCACAAGAACAGCAATGGCCCAGCATGGATTAAATCAGCTTTCCTGATGCAAATAAAAATATGCATGGTTTAGAACAGGGACGTCCAACAGGTAAATCGTGATCTACTGGTAGATCACTGGTTCTCTGTGGTAGATCACTGGCTTCCCCCCAATGAAGCCCAACAGGCTTGGCTCCCTTAAAAAGAGCTCAACATCTTTGCCCTGCACCCCCAAAAACTGGGGCTTTTCTCCTCCCTCAAAAAGCTCAACAACTCTGACCTGAACCCATAAAAAACAGGGCTTTCCTTCCTAAAAAAAAAAAAGCTCAACTGCCAGTTTTTAACTCTGTGAGTAGATAGCAGTCTCTTGGGAGTTGGCCACCACGGTTTAGAAATAATGGATAATTCCTCCCCACACTTCCTGACTCCCTGCCAGTTATATTACAACTTGGAGTCACCCAATGAAAGAGCAGACAAAACAAGTATCTCTTAGCAGACTGATATGCTTCACTGCTGCAAGATATGATGGTGGTCACTGGCACTGATAGCTTTACTGATAGCCCTATTCTCCATAAATTTGCCTGCCAATGGCTTTTGGCTAGGATATCGTAAACCTTCATGTTCAGAGGCAATCCATCTCTGAATACCACTTGCTGGGAGAGGGGCCTTTGGGGCTTCCTGGAGGCTTCTGGCAAAGCACTGAGGGAAGCAGGCAGCTGCAGAATGAGAGGGAACTTTGGTTTGGTCCAGAAGGGCTCATCTTATGACAAGGGTGGGGTAATTTGTTTGGGCCACATTCCCTCATGGGCAATTTTCTGGGGGCTGCATTGCAGTGGTGGGTTCCATCAGAGGCAAAAAGTGAGAGAGCCAGTGTGGTGTAGTGGTTAAGAGCGGTAGTCTCGTAATCTGGGGAACCGGGTTCGCGTCTCCGCTCCTCCACATGCAGCTGCTGGGTGACCTTGGGCTAGTCACACTTCTCTGAAGTCTCTCAGCCTCACTCACCTCACAGAGTGTTTGTTGTGGGGGAGGAAGGGGAAGGAGATTGTTAGCCACTTTGAGACTCCTTAAAGGGAGTGAAAGGCGGGATATCAAATCCAAACTCTCTGAGCAAGGCCAGAAGACAATGTGGTGGAAAGATGCATATGACCAGCCAGGCAAATGCTAGAGGTTTTTTCTAGACCCTCAGCTTTCCATGGAAGGGATTGGAGAGGGATTGTGGGCTGGGGAGACTCCCAAGAACTAGACAGAAAAGCTAGCCAGCCATATTCAGCTCTTGGGCCCAAAGTCCCATACCCCTTGCCTTACGGCCTTATTTTTTATCTCCTGACCTTCCACACAGGCTAGCATAACATTCCCCTAGCAAGACTGCCATCTTTGCTCCAGGGAACAGGGTGCTCTTTCGCGTCACTGGCACAGCGTCTCCCTGCCTAAATGCAGCATCCAGCCCACATAAGAACACATTCCTTCTGCAGCAAATTTAGAAATGAAGTAATGGGAGGTGGGTGGTGGGGAGAATCGTTTCGCCTGGCACATAACCGGTCCTTGAAACCTGTTGCTATGGAATGGAACAATGCCTGAGAAGGCTACCCATGTTAAATAATACACCCATTAACCAATGGTTCGCTCTGAGCACTCCTATGCCAAGATAATAATAATAATAATAATAATAATAATAATAAAATTTATTTATTTCCCGCCCTCCGCAGCCGAAGCAGGGCTCAGAGTGGCTAACAACAATAAAAGTAACACAGCATTCTAAAATCAATTCATTCTAAAATCAATTCAGAATCAAATTAATGGCAACCATTGGGCTAGAGTTCTATGAGGATTACCAAAGGAGGGGGGTCAGACTGTGCCTTGGCCAAAGGCCTGGTGAAACAGCTCTGTCTTGCAGGCCCTGTGGAAAGATGTCAAGTCCCGCAGGGCCCTAGTTTCTTGTGACAGAGCGTTCCACCAGATCAGGGCCACAGACGAAAAAGCCCTGACTCTGGTTGAGGCCAGCCTAACATCCCTGTGGCACGGGATCTCCAAGATGTTTCTGTTTGAAGACTGTAAGGTCCTCCATGGGACATACCAGGAGAGGCGGTCCCATAGGTACGAGGGTCCTAGGCCGTATAGGGCTTTAAAGGTTAAAACCAGCACCTTAAACCTGATCCTGTACTCCACCGGAGCCAGTGCAGCTGGTATAGCACCGGGTGAATGTGATCCCGCGGTGAGGACCCCGGAAGGAGTCTCGCATTCTGCAACCGCTGGAGTTTCTGGGTCAATTTCAAGGGCAGCCCCACGTAGAGTGAGTTACAATAAAACCAAGTCTGGAGGTGACCGTCGCGTGGATCACAGTGGCTAGGTCAGGGCGAGAGAGGTAAGGAGCCAACTGCTTAGCTTGGCAGAGATGACAAATGTATCCTTTACTTTGGATTGACTGCTGCAATGTGCTTTGCATGGGGCTGCCCTTAAAGATGCACTCACTGATGGCCTCCCATTGGCTATGGAGAGGATGCTGTGTCCCGGTCCGATGCTAGATTCCAGGGAGAAGGGAGCTAGTAGGCGGGAGGGGAGGTAGGGCTGCTCAGAAGATGCAGGACTGCAGACAACTTTGAGTGACCAACTTGCTCCAACAAGGGTTGGGAGCTAAGGCTCTGGCATCAAACTATGTCCTCCAAGCTCCACCTGTCCCATGGAGAACTTCAGGGCCTCAAAGGGTTAACCCCCGGCCTGAAGATGGGCAGTCCTCCTCTGTTCCATAGCCTCCCTCCTGGTGCATCCTTTGTGCCACTGGACCGGTGATGTGTGATGGTAGGCTCAAGGAGAAGGCCTTGGTGGTCTACGAGATTCCTCTGGTGGATCCTGTCCCCCAGCCTCAGTCTCAATGGTCCCCTGATCTTCAGGAGCTGTTTCAGAGTCCTGAACCTGATCTTGCTTCTCAGCCGCTGCCTCTGCTGCCTCTGGATTGCTGCTGGATTCAGGGGTCATCATGACACAGGCAGGTTTTGCAACCAGGATTTCAACCATGGCTGGCAACCGTGGTTTTCCGGGCAACCTCAAACCACCATTTCCTGCAAACTATGGCTTGCTACCATTTTGGAAAGAGAGAACAGCACAGGATGAGAGGAGGGAGCGAGCCCAGAAGCAGACCTGGGGCTCACAGAAGCACAGAGCTAGAGGGCGCCTTTAGGGCACCTCGTTCAATCTCCTGCTCAGTGAAAGCAATTCAGTGCTCTAGCATCCCCAACAGATGGCTGCCCAGTGTTTTTCTGAGGATCTTCAGGAAGGAAGAGCTCACCATCTCTCTGGGTAATTGGCTTTGCTGTTGAACTGCTCTTACTATCAAGGCACTTTGAATGTTCAACCAAAATCTGCACTCCTGGAAAAGCAACTGCCAGAAAGGGAAGTCCCGCCTACATTATGGGCCGAGGGACCCTCTAGATACTGTGGAACTCCAACTCCAATCAGTTCCAGCCAAGCTGGCCAATTGTCAGGTATGATGGGAGTTGTAGTCCAACAACATTTGGAAAGCCAGGTCCTGGTTTTCATTAAAGGCACATAAGCTCTTAAAATGTATTTGTTGTTTAAATATTTATTTTTTTACCTTTTGGCTCCCCAGGTGGACTTCCAAGATATAGAAAGATACGTTAAAACAATCACATCCCCCACCCCACATACCCTGGGGAGAGGGGAAGAAGATTAAACCCTTAAACATAGAAAATGGTTTTCACAGACTGTTGAAATGCCAATAAGGAGAGGTTGTCCTGCTGGGCAGGGGTTGATCTACCAATTTCAGTTTCTCTCAGTTTATCATTTTTGCAATCTTAAGTTCGGTTCTACACATTTCCACATCAGTCTGCTTTTTTTAAGTAGTCTCATGAAAATTGATCAGCAGTTTAATGCAAATCTCTCTTAAAACACACATATGTCATGCCATTTTGCCTAATACATACATTTTTGTAATGCAATGTTTCCTTCCAAGGGACGCAGGTGGCGCTGTGGGTAAAACGTCAGTGTCTAGGGCTTGCCGATCACATGGTCGGCGGTTCGAATCCCCGTGGCGGGGTGAGCTCCCATCTTTCGGTCCCAGCTCCTGCCCACCTAGCAGTTCGAAAGCACCCCTAAGTGCAAGTAGATAAATAGGTACCGCTTTATAGCGGGAAGGTAAACGGCGTTTCCATGTGCTGCGCTGGTGCTGGCTCGCCAGAGCAGCTTCGTCACGCTGGCCACATGACCCGGAAGTGTCTGCGGACAGCGCTGGCCCTCGGCCTCTTAAGTGAGATGGGCGCACAACCCTAGAGTCGGACACGACTGGCCCGTACGGGCAGGGGTACCTTTACCTTTACCCTTTAATGTTTCCTTGCTTAATGCATTTTTTAATGCTATTTTCTGTAATATATGCATTTTGAGGCATACTTTACCTTCAGTATATGCATTTTAGTTCACATTATTTGGCAGGAGAATTGCATTGCAAAATTTGGTGAAGTGTCAATTTCAAGGGAAGGCTGCATTTCCATTTGTGCATGTGTTAGAATGCATGAATTTGATAGGTTCGCCTTTAAATGCAAAGTGAATATCATTTCTCCCCAGTCCTTGCTCCTGGGATTCATGTTCCACTAACCTGGATGCCACCACCAAGAAGACCATATCCCAGTCGAGTGAGCCTCTGATGGCATGGAGAGGTAGAGCAAAGTGCCCATCTGCACAAGGAAAGCAGAAAATGTATTTCTGCAAGCAACAAAAGCAAACTCTACTAATCAGATCTCCAAATAAACAAAAGAATGACACAGGAAAAACAACAA